CCCCAAATCCAAGCCCTCGGCCCCCTCAATCCTCCAACCCCAACCCCTCAAATTCCAAAACCACTCATCCCCCATCAGACCCAACAAAACCCAAACCAATACAACAAAAACAAAAAACAAATTACGATCCCGAATATAGAAATTATCATATTCATCGCAAAATATGACATATGACATTTTATAAACCACGGACCACCACCACGAGACCACCACCACGAGACCACCACCACGAGACCACCACCACGAGACCACCACCACGAGACCACCACCACCACCACCACGAGACCACCACCACAAGACCACCACCACGAGACCACCACCACGACCACCAACACAACCACCCGCACGAACCCCCGCCACGGACCACCACCACGGACCAACCACCACGGACCACCGCCGCGGACCACCACCACGGGACCACCACCACGGGACCACCACCACGGGACCACCGCCACGGGGCCACCACCACGGAACCACCACCAGGAGACCATCACCGCGGACCACCGCCACCTGGCCACCACCATGGGACCACCACCACGGCCACCAGGGACCACCACCACCACCACCACGGACACCGCCACCACCACGACAGACCACCACTACCAAAGGAGCACCACCACCACGGGACCACCACCACGCTGTGGGACCACCACGACGAACCACCACGGGACCACGGACCACCACCACGGGACCACCACCACGAGCATTCGGGAAAACCCCCCAAAACCCCAGCCTTTCAGCCCCAACCCCTCAGCACCCCAAAACCACCCACCCCCCACCACACCCGACAGAACCCAAACCATTACAGCAAAAGCAAAAAACAAAACCCCCCAAAACACGACAAAACTCCGGACACAAACCCTACACAATTTCTATTAAACCCCAAAACCCTACACCGGTAAAACCCTGAACCCGGGGGATCCCGAAAAATTCCCGGAATTTTGAATTCCTAGGATTTTTCGAGAGCTGCTGCTGATATGTGATCGTGAGGCCGAACCCCCTTGAACAGCTGGCGGGCGGCGACCGTCATCGGAACTACTCTGGACCAAGAGATTTCCTTGAAGATTTCCTTGAAGGTGAAGGGGCACCCACGTCATCCCTGTTGCGCTGGAACCTTAAATCCAACCCGGAAAGCCTGAACCTCAATCCGGACAATTCCGAAAATTCCGGGAATTTTCAGATCCGGGTGATTCCCAAAAATTCCCCGGATTTTTAGACAAAAAGCGTTAAAACTCCCGGAATTTTCAGGATCCCCCTGCAAGGCCCTCACAAGCAGCCAAATGGACCGGAAGAGGAGGCGGGGCATCCGACAGGGCGGCCGCAGAGCGAAAATAGGGGTCGAGCCCGTAGCCTTTTATGGGGATATTTTTGGGCGTAGAAATCGCTTATGTCGATTAAGAATTCTGGATATCATCATGTATTATTGTTTGATCATTAAATTGGTAACTTTCCCTACTCGGTCGAATTATCTTGACGAATATGAAATAAGAAACGTAAATCGGAAACGAGGGAAGAGGGATATCGAAAATTTTTCCCGGTTCAATGCAAGGCTGGGCAAAAGGGCTCCACATTCATCCCTCATTTAACGACTCTTTCGCTATTTGTTGCCTCTCAGCCTGTCATGGTGCTTGTCTAGTTCCGCGTGGAGGGGGTGGTGCGGTATTCTGGCTGTGGTGATTACAACCGGCGGTGTCCCAGATCATTGCTGGAATGCGCCGCTGAAGCGTTAGCTTGCGACTGGTGGCTCCAGCACATTGAGCCATCAGTCTAGGAAGAACACTCGTGATGAAATATCAGAAACCAGCCATCTCACTCCTTCCAAGAGCCCCTGCGCAGGGAGAGATTATCATCATCGCACTGTTGCATTCTGGTGCAATACCCGCCGAAGCCTCGCCAGTGTATGCAGAGCAGGCCAGAATGCACCTTCCGAGCCACCGATTGCACAGGGCATCACAGGGAGATCGCAGGAGGACAGCAGAAAAGGATGGAGACACACTGCATCGGCTCACCAGTGCCGTCGCTTGATCTCTTCAAGCTGGAGGAAATCTCGAATCTCTGGAGCTGTCCTTGAAATAGCAAACCGTGCGATCACGACACATTTCGTTCTTTGTCACTAGGTTGCTCACAGAGCTCCAGGTAGATCTTGCTTGTTCGCAAAGATCAGCAAGGTTGCGCCTGCAGGCATAGCGTCGCGGTCAAGCATGCCGAGGCTTTCACAGCGATGCGTCCTGCTAAGCGCTCTTCCTGAAGAAGTCGGTCCTGGAGGTTTGGAAGCGATTTTTGCCACTTCTCTGCAGGCCATTTTTGCGCTCCGCCTGCGCGCATGCTCTTCACTCACTCAGGCTGGGGCCAGCTCCTGTTTGCAGTCCTGCGCGACACGTGGGGGCAACTGTGGAGCAAATCTTGAATCTGATAACGGCAGAGGCCAAGCTCCTCCAAGCGCTGTCGATCCGCAGAATCAACGACCTCAGGGAAACCGACCTACACATACTTGATCAGACTTGCCTTTCCTAATGATTGCCTGGGCCATCGCCGCCGTTCAGTCTCAAGAGCCCAGCCCAACCCTTGGGAGTTCTTGAAATGCCGGGCAGGCACTGAGCCCGATACCCAAACGAGACCATCGGTGGCCTCAAAGTAGTTCCTGCAGGCGTGGTCTGTTCACGCTAGCAGGGTGGCACAATGTGACAAGGATTGAAGGAGCTTCCTCCAGTAGCTGCGAATCGTTTTCTGTCCCCCAATGTCCCAAATATTGAGCTTGTAGCCCTCGTACCTGAGGTTTCGAAAGAAACGCCTTGTCCCGCTGACCCCATGAAGGAACCCCTCCCAAGGAACTCGCGCGCTTGGTTCACTCTTGATTCGCTAGGCCGCTAGGCAAGACCAAGGCGCTCGAGCGTCTTGATGTTGAAGCCCAGAGTTGGTGAGATTGTATCCACTGGTTCACCATTGAACCTGATGACGCGATTTTCACAAAAGCACAGCCCCTTGGATTGGGAGCGCGCGCCAGGAGTAGACTTGCAACGTGTTGCCTCAGAACTTGAGATGCTGATTCAAGGCCGTGGCTTCTTCAGAATGGTGGTTTTGCCTCTCGCATACGAGCACACTGCTCGACAGATTGCAGCAAGAACCTGCGAAGTGAACCCCGGATTTTTGCCTGCATTGTCGAGGCCAAGCATGAGAAGGCGAACCTCCTTGATATGCCGACTGCATGCACCACATGAGGGCAAGGGTAAGAGCTCGTCGTGCAAAAAACTGGAGGACCTTCTCTTCTTGCTTCATCTTCCTCACAGTGTAGGATTGCACTACACATTCCAGACAGGCAAGCCACTGGCACAGGCACGCAATGGCTCTAGGCAAACGGTCCTGAGGATCTTCATCAGACCCATGGCTGCAAAGAGGCTGAGGTATCAACTTCAACGGGAATGGTCGTTCCAATGTTGTTAGAGCCTCCATGCCAACTGGTGGACACCTTCCATGGTTGCTTGCTACGTTCATGATATTGCTCGCTTGCAGCCTCTGTGCACTCTGTCTGCCCTATGCTGTTTAGCTGCATAGTGCTGCGTGTCTCTCGCGCTTGCTCGTGCGTTGCAGTGCCAGTGCTCGGGATGCGGAGATGGAGCCTCTCTTGCGTGCCTTCACAAAGAGATCATCTCGGACATCCTCAATTGCAGTGCGCTGCTGTGCTCCTTTTTTGGCTCCGCAGAAAGTTTCCAAGTCCCCATAAGTGTTTAAACGGCAACACCAAGCTCCTGCATGAGCTCCGAGGCTCGCTTGCGGCCAAGTGCTCTCGAGAGACCAGATTGGACGTGCTGATTGATGGAATGGTTGAAAAGGCCATCCCGCACGGCCTCACGGAAGAGGCTCTCTGCCCTGTCGGGCTCTTTTGGCCGGGCTGTCGCGTATGCCAACAACTGAGCATAGATGAAATAGTCGTTTGGGCGGCAGCCACTAGCCCTAACGCTTCCACCTGATGCCAGTTGCCTCTGTATGCAAAGGGCCTGGCCAAGGCTGAGTACGTGACAACATGAGGTGTGATCGCTCTGGCTTGCATTCGCTTGAACACTGCCATGGCCCTCTCACAATCACCTGCTTTTCCGCAGGCGTCAATCACGCTGCTGTAGACGACAGCGTCGCTCTCAAGGCCTGCATCCTCTAGCTTCACCAGCCATTCTTCTGCTTGGTCCGCTTTGCCTGCCTTTGCGCAAGCATTGATTACTGCGCTGTAGCTTCGCAAGTTCGGCCGGATTCCCAACTCTAGCATGCGAGCATGCCAGTGCTCGGCCCGCTGCAGGTTACACGCCTTTGCACATGCGTTAATCACGGCTCCAAAGGAGACAACGTTCGGCTGGATGCCGAGTGAAAGCATCTCATTCATCCATGTCTCGGCCTTGTTGAGGTCACCTGCCTTTGCTGCGGCGTCGATGAGGCTTGCATAGGTGGTCACCGTGGCTTCAAGGCCTTTTTCTCGCATCTCTTTGAGCCAATGCTCGGCTTTCTCAACTTGGCCCTTCACGGAGCAGGCATGGATCAGTGAATTGTAGCTGATGCTGTCGGGTTCAATGCCCCTTGCCACCATTTTCTTTTGCCAAATACTTGCCGAGTGCTCATCTCCACTTCGTGCGAAGGCATGGATCACTGTCGCGAAGCTGATGACATTAGGCTGCAGGCCCCGGTCTAACATGCGCTGCAACCAAAACTCGCTTTCCTTAGCCTTACCTGCTTTTGCGCAAGCGTCCAGCACAGTATTGTAACTGCACACTGTCGACTTGATGTCCTGCTTTTCCATGTGCGTCAGCCAGCGTCCTGCTGCCTTGTACTGCCCTTCCTTGGCAAAGGCCCGGATGACGAGGTTGTAGCTGAGCGTATCGGACGGGCCATGGGCTGCTTCAAAATCAAGCACAAGCTTTTCCAGCACCACGGCCTTCCCACATGATGCGCGACCGAGCTGATAGTTCAACGTTTGCTGAGCGGACTTGTGCAGTTTGGCGGGGCTGCCAAGCACACGCTCTGCTTCAGGCCTTTCTGGTCGATCTTGACTCTTTGGGCTCTTTTTGCTGCTGGAGTTGATCTTCCTGGACCTCAAGTAGACCGCGTGGCAACCGCCGGCCAGCAATAGACCGCCCGCGACCCAGTCCGCACTTCCGAAAAGTGCCCTCGCACCCCTCACACTTGGAACAGGATGCGCAGGACTGTTGCCCGCAAAGAGAACGTAGTCAGCTAGGAACACGGCCAAGACAAGTCCAAGCAGGACAGCCAAGTGAAAGAAGGTAGGTTTGGCGGTGTTGGCGCTTCGTGAAAGCATCTCACTATCGGACTTGCCCATGGGTGAATGCACAACCAGGGCGAATATGAAGGCTCAGTATCGAGATCCGAAGGGTTTCCGGATGCTATCTTGCAAAGGGCATCCTGAAGGATGCTTGAGCTGCTGATGGCCACGGGTAAGGGCTCTGCCACAATGCCCGGTGCATGTGTGGACAAGCATAGAAGCATGGCACTTAGACAGAAGATGAGTTGGGCTATCTTGAAACGAAACTGAAGAATCTTGAATGTGTACTGAATGTGTGACAAAGCACGCGCATGTGGGAATGAACCCTGAATCTCGGAGCCTCCGCCCGGATGCGCAACCATCGGTGTCGGTCCACACCCACAACTGCATCCTGCAAGGGGTACCTTCTCAAGACTCTTGGGAGGCCTGGTGGCCCACCTCCTCAGCGCTTGCCTCCACGATTGACTCTTCCGAAGGATTCGGTGCTTCCCTTTTCCCGTGCTTGCATTCCCGTTGGCCTGAAAAGCATGTGCGAGGATGCTGAACTTGGGGGAACATGTGTGGACTTCTTAAGCGAGGTGAGTCTACGGCATCTGGGATTTCTCGTCGCTCATCCAGAGACCAAGCTCCGCCAGCATGCACGGACACATGGCTGCCGGTCTCGACTGCAATCTGTCGCACAGCGGCTCACTACTCCTAGCTTGATGTGGGGTGTATGCAAGAAGGACCAAAAAGAAAAATCGACCACACACAGCAGCAGAACGTGGCTGGCCTCAGCGCAGGCGTAATTCCAACAGGATCTTTGCATCTTGTTGCCGTTGGTGGTGGATCGTCGCCTAAATAAGCAAACTTGAGCAAGTCGGCGATTTCGAGCGCTGGTCTACTTGGACTCTGCGCCGCCCCAAAGAACACTGCACCCTCAAGAGGGCCTGCCAGCCTTTGCGGCTCAATCTGTCGTCCCCACTTGCTCCCACTCGCTTTGCTTCGTCAGGTGCTTGCATCAGTCCGGAATTTTTCCCAGCGGCTGCACTTCGGTGCTCAGTCCAAGCACACCGACCAAAAAGCTTCGGCCTCTGACCCGACCAGGAGAGTGAAAGGAGTAGTTGCTTCGACTATGGGCACCTCGTTTTGTATGTACTTCGTACTGTCGCCACACACATCAATCTCAACGGTGCGCCGTGTAAAGCTCCAACGTGTCGGTATCCATTCTACATGCTTCTTGCAAGTCTCGGAACCCAAGCTTTCAACGACTGCCTTCGTACCATTAGCATCTTGCCATCGCAGCTTTACAACTGCCTCAGATGCCAGATGGACTGCAAACTCCATGGACAACCCAGGTGCTACGAAGCGCAGCTGAAACCTGGTAGACGTCGTGTCGATTCTGAGCACCAACGGAGGAGACAGCTCACCGAGTCTTGTTTCATGATATCTGGGCAAGCCCTGCACGAGCTTCGTGGCAAATGTATGGCACCATGCCGATCCACGCTGCATGACGTAGTTCAAGCCTCTTTGCCTGGCGGAAAAGCTTGAGGACAAAGCTGAAAATTACCATGTTCTTTCCCGGATATGCCCCTCCTTAGGGGGGTCCTTGACTAGTGCGAGCGGCCGAGCGGCCTGGCAAGGAGATACAGGTGCTCCTGGCTCTTCTCCCTGAGCTCCAAGCTGCGCAACTCGCCGCCCCACCACTTGGAGGTCTCGGTGGTCTCGCCAAGAAGCTGCGAAGCACCGAAAGTTCCGAGCCAATCGGAACTGGGCCAGTGGGCCCGCAGCAGCTCCTGCATTGCCGGCCAGCGCTTGAGATCTCCGGCTATGTGCACGAGCGCAGCCGCCTCTCCGCATGCACAGCACGGATCACCAAGGCGTTGGGAAAAACAGTATCTGGCCGGAGGTTCTGCACCCAAGGCAGCATACTCCCTGACCCTTGCTTGCCTGGAGCCGGTGAGCGGCACGAATGCAAAAGCTGATAGCAAGTCTACGACATCTGGGCAGTAGTGCTCAACCTGGTTGCTAGACACGATCCCGGGGTAGCGACGCCTCAGAACCATTGCATCTGGCCATAGCTCCGGCTTCTCCCAAGCTGGATGCCAGTCGAGACTGGGAAAGAGTGACCATCGACAAGGCAGAAATCGCAGGATGGCCTTATCAGAATAGCCAACGCCTGCTAGAAACTCATCCTCGTTCAATACATTGAGGATGCCTTGATCCCGTAAGCACTGGCCATCGGCGCTTCTCATCAAGCCATGGCGTGCAGCCAATAGGGTCAGGTCCGTGAAGTTGTGGTCTCGCATCCACTTCAGGTTATACACCACGGTCCCGGCATTCACATGTTGGAGCGGAGCTGCGTAGGCAGCGGCCAGGAAGTGCTCGCCCATGTTCGAACCAATTTCCCACAAACCACGGATATCGTCTAGAATGAGGATGTCTCCGAGATCTATGGAGATGACTTGGTCCACATCTTCTGGGAGCCTTTGTCGCGGAGCCAGGCATGTGAGATATTGGAAAGCATTGCGAAACAAGTGTTTCAACACCGTGCCAGAGTTCATGAAGAGGGGTAGGTAAACACAACAGGAAAAAGCAGGAGCTGTGGTCAAACCCGTAAACGCAAGGGGGCAAAACAACATAACACAGGCAAGGTAACACAAGTGGTAAAGAAACCGACCACGCAATGTACAAGCAGAGCCAGGGTTTTTTGGGAGGAGGCCAAAGCTGAAGCTCTTCAGCCGCCTCTTGCGTTTCTTGGCTGTTTGTGCCTTCGATGTGCATTCCAGCAGCGCAAGGCCATTGCTTGTACGGTAAGTCTACCCAAGTCTATCAAAACATTTTTGCTAGGGATGCGGCCTTTGTGGTCGGGAGCAGCTCTAGATACTGCACCCCCGGTTTGACATGTGTGTGTGTGTGGCTATGTGGCAGCAAGAGCCTTCTTGACGGCAAGTCACCGAAGCTCGGTGCCGGCATTTGGCCAATGATTTTAGCATCTTCAGTTCTGGGGACCTATTGCAGGTTCGTGAATGTCTTTCGTGAATGTCTGACTCGAGTCTTACTGCAAGGCCACTTTGCCTCCCTGCTGGCTGTAACGAGCGAATGTCCTTTTTGAAAGTTTCTGCCACCCAAAACTGCATCGGCCAATTTCGTGCCGCACTGTTGGGACGACAATGCAAAATGGACAGTCGTTGTTGAGTACAGAAAAAAACAACCTACGTACCAGTATCAGTTCGCAACGCCCACTGTGCCAGGCCAGCTGCAGCATGTGGCAGAGGATTCGTGCAAGCATCGCCCTCTCGATGGAGCTGTCGAAGAAACAGTCTTGTGGATATTTCTTCCTGAGATGCCCGAGAAGGGGTACTAGAGAAGGGGTACTACGACGAGTCACATGAAATAAGGGTTTTGTGTGGGTGAGAGCTAGCTTTCTCGGCAAGGGACATGTAGGTTTGAAACTGCGACATCTTCTCATGGTCGACATGCTCGAAGCTGACGCCTGTCATATCCACATGTTGCAGCTGTAGAACTTCCGGGATAGTCGCCTGTAAATTTTCCCAGCCCTCCGCATCACCCAACACGAAAATCCTAAGCATGGTGGACCTTCGGCGCAGCAGACTCAGCAGTGTCGCAATGCCCTTGCGTGCCCACTTTCCTGTACAAACCACCTGGAGCGTGACCACTACTGACGACGGTTGCAATGGAGGAGGCTTGAAATCAAGTCTCTTATCCACCAGTTCTGAAAGGAGGCTGTAGGCAACCAGATCATGGTTTGCCACCGTCTCCTTGTACAAGGGCAGCAAGTCATGCTCACATTCCTCAGGTAGGACATCCACCACTTGCCTTCCACTCCGCGTTGCCCTCTGCCAAAGGCAAAACTGCTGAAAACCCTCCAGCCGCAGCATGCTTTTGGCGAGGGCGCGACTGAGAGCCACTGCTGCCTCCAGCACCTGATCTTGATCTCCAGCATCTGGGTACCTGTTGCTAAGGAGGAACTGGGACGCCTCCCAGTTCGAGTGGCGGGCGAAGCCTGCCGAGAATAGCTTCCATGCCTCCAAGCTTGAACAATCTATGTCACGAAGGAAAGCCCACAGCAGATCCTGTGCCTCGTAGTGGCTGCTCGAGGGCAAGGCTGCCACAAGGGCCAGGAAGTCTTCCCGAGAACAGCAGTCAGCATGTTCAGCATTCAGGTATTCGTCCGGGCATCCAGCGCGCTCTGGACTCAGTACATCTTGATTTGGGCAGCAGGCAAGGTAGAGCGGGAGACTTCGAAAGCAAAGCATCCGCAGTCATCTGTCCGGGGAGCTCTCGTCAAATTGGCTTGTGACTGACGCTAGATGGAGCTGGTGGTTGGTCAAGATTCTTTCATCCAGCTTTGGCTTCTTCGCGGACATGCATCTTCCTTCGTCAGAACTTTCGCGCTGCCTTCTGCGGGAACATCTGGGTACTATAAGACGTGCACTATTGCTGCCAGGCTGTGTGTGACTGGGATTGCTTCAAAACCTGCGTTTTCTTAGGCTGAGGGTGGGAATACAACTCGAGGTGTGGGTGATGCAACAGGGTCGGGTTGTGCTGTACTATCGTGTTTGTTGGGACCCGTAGCTGTTTGCCGGCAAAGTGCGAGCATGCTCTGCATAAGTATGAATAGCCAACACTCTCACATGATTTTGCTTCATTCCGCGAAACTTTCGCCCTTTGCGGACCTGTTGTGTTACAGGCTGAGAAAACCATTCTACCTATATGGTCCACGGACCAGGACTTTTACATCAACCCTTGCCTAGAATGTGTTCTGAGCTGGCGTGTGAGGTCTCTGCGCAGCTAACATTCGCGCGACGATGACAACTCAACGACCCGCAGCCTATTCTACACTTGCACAGATGGAAACATCCCAACCCTGTAGGCACAACCTTGAAACTCTAACTTTGGACCACAATCGTTCAGATTGTCGGATAGGTCGAACACGCCATCCTGCACTTGGCTGGATGAAGCTTCTATGTACATCGAGGACAAAGCCTGGTCTCCAGCAAACGCCGATTGAAAGAGCTCAAGAACCGGGAGTGCCGAAGGATGCCACGAGGAAGCGTGATGTCACCGGCCCACCCCAAACATGTTCAGCAAACGCCCAGCCCCTGACCGCTCCTCTCCGCGGCTTCGTGCTCGTTGAGCTTCCTCTGCCATTCCCATCCGCAGAAAATACTGAGCTTGCTGTTCTGCACTCTTCACTTGTGGGACCAATGCCAGGGCGAAGTCATGCCGGCCGTGCTTCCTGTGAGCCAGGCAAGGCGCAGATTTTCAATGCTTCTACGGCTTCTACTGTAATTTCTGTACCCATGTTTCGGCCGAGGGACAAGAAGGTCTCGATGAACAGCTCGTAGCCAATGGGGGAAGTCCGATGGGTGGCGAATGCATTGAGCTCTTCAAAGTTGGCGGCGTTACTCAGACCACGAATCTTGATTCGCCAGTATCTCTTATCTGGTACTTTCATTTGAGATCGCAGGTTGTCGGCTTCCACAACTTCCCCGATCTCAATCAGCCTGACGAGTGTAGATGCCAATGGCAAGCCTGCAAAGCGAGTGTTCCCCTTCCAGTGCTTGGAGGCGGCTTGATCCTCGAGTGATACCTGCGCACGCAGAAGGTCGATTTCCTCGGCACATGCTTGTGACGCAAATTGCATTGAAGCCTTCTCAGCATCTGTGGCTGTCGCATCGCTTATGGCAAAGAGATCCTTTGAGAAGCGCAGAAGCTTCATCCGCTCCTCATAATTGGCTTGCCGGTAGATTCGGTGCAACGCGCAATAGGCAGCCGGACGCTTGCGGTCGAGCTGGTCGCAAAGCATTCGTGCACGGTCGAACTGCTCAGCCTTTGACAGGATGCCAGTGACCATGTCGCTAATGACCTGCAACTCGAAGGGTCTTTCTTTGACAAGACGAGCCACAGCTTGGATGTCCGCCCCTCGCTTGCACAAGTCGCCTCCGCTGGCAGCGGACAGTGCAAGATGAATCAAGTCAGGATCCCAGCTTCGCGCGGCCTTGTCCAAGGCAATACGAAGCATGATCTCTCGGTTCTTCTCGTCCCCTTCCTGACTCAATTGAACCAATACCTGCACCTGCGCATGGCTTCTTGGCTCATGATTCAGGAGGGATGTGGCCAGAACTGTTCGGACCGTTTCGGCCGCCACCCGAGCCACCTCAGCATATCCTGAGCTCTGCATGCATCGAGCATGGGGCAGTGCGCTTGTCCTAGCAGGCCCTTGCAAACCCAAATTCTCCGAAAGCTCGCACAGAATTAGAGCAACAAAACGCTCAAGAAAACCTCGAATACCATGCAAAGGCTTGCAGCCGATGCCAGGGCAGCGCTGGAACTTGCTCAGGATGATCTGGCACAGCTGCTCGTCGGTGTACGCGGTTGAATGCCGAATCTTCTCACAAGCCCAGTGGTAAAGGACCTTCTCTTGTGAATGCCCCGTCCACTCGCATATCCGGATCGCCAGCAGATGGAAGTGACGTTGCGCCAATCTCAGGGTTAAGCCTGGGTGCCACTGCAGTGCAAAACATGCTCACGCGAGCCGTCGCAACCCCTTAAGTTGGGAGAAGCCGCGACACTTGGAACATCCAGGGCAAGACATTTTTTGGCTCACTCCTGGCCTGCGATGCCAAGCTTCTCTAGCTGGGCCGCCGTGATGGGAATTTCGATTGGGGATTTTCGCAGCTCCACGCAGATCCGCAAGTTCTTGCAAGCGTCCCTGTGTCGGTCAGGCTCTGGCGTCTCTGACAAGAAATGGCGTCCGAAACTTGCAGCTCTAAGCAGGTTGCTCGAGTGCGGCGGCTGCTCGCAAAGAGCGGCATCGATGCAGGTTGACACGGCTTCTGGCAGCTCGGCCTTGATGGGTCTCAAGGATTCCTGTGCGCAAACATCTCCGCTTTCGTAGCGCTCCAGCGCATAGCACAGCATCGCGGGTGGGTCGAAGCTCCCGATGCTGAAGATCTGTTCCACGCTAGGAGGCACTCTCTGAACAAACTCGATCTTGTTTGTTCCCAGTACTCGGCAACCGTCACACTCCGACACCAGATGCAATGGGGTGTCGTACTGGTATGGAATCCAATCATTCCTCGAATGCTTGCACAAACCAAGGGAAGTGTTGTATCATTTACCTCAACCAGAAGAAGGGCCCTACTTTGAGACTTGGAGTGTCCCGCTGCACAAAAGAAAAAGCAGAAGGCGGAATAGCGCAGCTATGAAGGCAGTGTTGGTCAGCTGCCTTGTCAACATCCTACAAACCGCTTGCCGCCATCGCTTAAGCCAGGAAGGCCAACAACTTTCGTATCTATTGGTATGTAGTCGCTACACGTTGGCAGTTCTAGGATGCAGCAAGCATCTGGGGCCCTCCAACGAAAAGGATGTGCTGCAAACCTGGGTGGCAGAAGGTGCGGCGCCATAAGTCGCAAGGAAAGAGCGAGGTCTGAACACAGGTGTTGGAGTGCTGAATCGGATCTTGGCTCAGAGCTGCTGGATGGCGTCTGCGCTATCAAATACAAGGCGATGCAGTCGTCCCCGCCTTGGACATGATCAGACAAAGTTTCAGGTTTATCTGCACGCGCACGCAACATCTTTTTCACGTGGGCACTTCCCCTGCACGTTTTCGCGTTCTCGACAATGCAGTCTCATGCTTGCGCCAAGCGTGCTGTGAAGAGCTACTTCATTTCACCTGTCGGGCCTGTCGGGCCTGTCGGGCCTGTCGGGCCTGTCGGGCCCAGTTTGTTTATGTGGTTTCTTTTTGAACTTGAGACCTGACACTTCTCAACAGTGTGCGCAGTTTCCTTCCTGGACCTAGGATTTGGGCCTCTTGCTTTGCATCATCTGGGTCTTCACACTCAAGCAGGCGAGGCGAAGTTTCGAAATGCCGAGACCCAAGACACTCTGCAAATTTGAACAGGGTGAGCCACCAGAATGATTCATGTATCCAAGTGCACCAAGAAGTCTCACATATACTTTGTTAACAGGTGGGACAGCACGCAGATTCTGCGGAGCAGATCCAAAAACATCTTCTCGTCGCTCGGCAAACAAATCGTACAGCTCCTATCGGCGCAGTTCGAGACTTAAAGAACGGATTTGGGTTCTTATGAGCCACTGAGGATCCATCGCCAAACCTCCTACACCCCAAAGATTGGGCACCGGCCGCGGCTCAAAAATGATTGCCGGCCTTTCAAAGAAACCAGGTTTCTGCAACTCCTCATTCCATGGCTACTGGTTCTCAGGTTCAGCGTTTCGCGCATGCAGTAGTAGGACAGGGCGCAATCTGTGCAGGGCGGGGTTGCGATCCTCGAGAGGTGACTGCGCTTAGAGCTCGTGTCGTGCTCACCGAGGTAGAGCAAAATTCACCGCCTAAATACCTACTTGTCGTGACAAGCAGGCCAAACTCTTGTTTAGAGGCGATGGTGTGTGGGCGCAGGCTCTCCAGGATTGAAGACCAAAACGTAGTGTCTACAACCCAATCATACCATTGTTAGTGCTTTGCTTCACTAAACCCACTCAATCCGTAGACGTCCCTTGATTTTCTGGCATCTTGCAAGGATTGGGTTTTCAAAACAGAACAACCACATTTTATAGTCTTAAGATAATGAAGTAGGATTGTGTGGCGATTGGGCTGGACGGGCGAGGCGATAGGGTGATATCGTAGCGGTTCCGTGCAACTTCTGAGCAGCCGGGCGGGGCCCTTTGCTGGTTCAGCATGGGCATCCATGAGGGAAACAGTTGCCAAATGCAAATGTCCGAAGCTGATGTGTGCTGAATGGGAACTGGAGTTGATGTCTCGATGTCATTTGAAGTTGGTTCAAACTGGTGTCGCGAAGCCCAAACCTTTGCCTCCGGGGGCCCAACGATTGGAAGGTGGCAGTTCGAGAAGTGCGGCCAGCCTCGAACTCCTGGAGATGCAGACTTGTTGCGGCGGCTGTGGCCGATCTGGGCCATTGTCCATGAAAATCAATGTCGTGCGTGCTAATGGCGGCCCGTGTGCTTCCTGTTTTTGCGTTCCTTGTGCCCTTCGGGCCAGCACGTGCCTCCCATTTCGGTCGGTTTTTTTCCCGCCGGCCGAATGGGGTGGGGGTGGCCATGTTGGTGGGCGTTTATTCAAACAATCAGGGCCAATGCCGGCTCTCATCCTAGAGGAACCCCAGCTAAGTGAAGCACGTTGATCTTCACAACAATGATGAAACTTCGTTGGGGGACCCGGATGCGCAACCTTTGCTGGCGGTTTTGACTCTGTTGCCCTTCTCGGCAGAACCTCAGACTCATCAGTGATGCACGTCCAGAGCCTCATGAAGGGCTCCAAATCGGCGCCTGTGTGATCATTGTGGGGAATCCACCCCGCTGTACCTTTACACTGTTTATGATCCCAGGTTACTCCGCTCGCAAAATCGCCTGGCTGATCGTCGAGGAGGTTGTCAGTCACGACAACACTGCGAGCTTCGAGGATCCCATCTCTATTGCGATGTCGCTGCAGCTCGAGATGCTGAGCCATGCCCGCACGCTAACATATTGTCAGTGCACCCTCGCCCACACGAAAAGAACGTCCGTGCTACCAGTGCATCTATGCACTGAGAAGCCATGCCCACGCAAACAAGGTCTGTGCTACCATGTGTTACCAGTGCCTGCATTCACGAACCCATGTCCGCACGATAAGAACGTCCGTGCTACCAGTGCATCCGTGTCCGCACGATACATGCAGGCACGATACGAATGTCCGTGCTTCCAGTGGTGACATGTCAGTACTCTGAACCCTAAACTTAATTTTACATAGAAGCGCAATGTTCCGTGCCACGGTTGGGAAGTACCTCCTCAGCTTCTAGTGCTCATGCTGCAAGTGTGGGAAAGATTAGCCGATCTCCCTAAAGAACCACAAGTTGCCACTGCCTTATTTCGGCGAAAGCCAGCTTCGTGTGGCCAGTGTTGTGAGTCTAGCGTGTTTCGACCAGGACTGAGTAAGGTACACCACACCATCTGCTTCGGCTTCTTGATTGTCTCGACGATGTTAGCAACATCCTGCGTTCGCTCAAGCTTCGGACAAGCTTCGTTTGCAATACCGCAACCAGCAAGAACTCAAAAGCGCTCCAAGACTTGCAAGTTTTCTTCGACAGCGAGAACCTCTCACAATTTCTGCACGCTGCATGCCATGGTGAACGGAAACATGCCGAGAGAGAAGTGAGGGAGGATGAGGCACGGTAGCCTTGAAGACACCTTTGGTGCTCAAGCAAGCCAGGAGCCGGCCGCTGCTTGAGAGTGCAAAAGCCATGAACGGACCGTCCATGAGGCCGACATCTCCTTGCGCGGGAAACGCAGTTTGCTAGGATCATGTGCTCAACGCTTGACTTACTTGACTTGACTCAAGCCACTTTGGCCCGATGACTCCGCAACCAAGCGGCTGCAGCTGTGCCTTCAGGACCAAGCTGAAGGGATAACGATTGTGGATGCGTTCGCATGCTGCAGTCATCTACAACCACAACAGCTGCGAAAGGCAGCACTAGAAAAAAACAGAGCAAAGTAAGAAAAGTGCGAGGACGCCTGTCGACCATCAGGACCGGTCCCTCAGCAGTGCCCACAATGACTCGCACGTCCTGAGCATGCCGCAGCTTTTCTCGTTCTCTCGTGGGCCACAAGTCTCAAGATCTGATCCTCTTGTCACTCTCTGCCTCTGCAAGCGGTAGCCAGTCACTAGCCCAGATGCTGCTGACTCTTCTGAAGTTTGTGGGAGCACACACAGGCTCAGGGGTGCCTCCGTTGTGCAAAGGCAGTTTCAAGGCAGAGCAAAGAGGCACTGGAAAAACATCACGCTGCCGGCACGTGGCACTGGGAACTTTGAAATCGGCAAAGCGCTGGCAAGCCTGGGCTTTTTGTCATGTTGCAGAGTGGGGGATCGCTCTGATGCTACCTAGCTGCTCGTGACCCAGTCGTGGACCGCCCGAACACAAACCCCATCACTGGAACAGTGCATTCATCTCAGGAGCATCCTCTGATCGAGTCAGGGAAGTGTTCACAAATATGTTGAACTTGCGCGTCAGCAATGCCTCCAGCAAAGAAGAAGTGGAAACGGAAGAATGCGATCTGAGCTACAGTACTGTGTTGCCACATATCCGGACCAGCTTCGTGCAGGGAAACGAACCGTCAACCGTTGCAGCAAGGCACGATTCCATGTGGCCACAGTGCGGCGGCGATTGCCCCACCCTCTGATGTGATCCGCTCGTCCACAGTGAAGACATGCAAAGGCTCGCACATGACAGTGAACCTCACAGCATCTCACAACATCTGCAAGTTTTGGGTTCAAGAGCGCTTTGCAAACCCACAGCTGTGCACCCGGAAGTCCCTGAGTCGTTCACGTTCGAACCAGTCCAGACTCGAAAACGCACACCTCGGAACAGCCGCAGACGTACGCAGTCGCAGCGCAAGCATCACTGAGCACGGGTTGCATTCTGACATCAGCATTTGTGACGTGGTGCCAAGGTTTCTTGTGCACTCCATCCCATGGCCAGCAGACCTCGGTCCGTCAAATGCCATATGCATTCGAAGGAGCCTGGCGAGTTCAGAAACAATCAGTGAGATTCTCCATGCCCACACCTTCGGCCGAGACACCAGTGTGCGCCCATGGTGCCGACTGAATTAGCCGCCCGGCAGACGTCCATATCTGTAGCTCCGTCCGAAGGCTGCCCTTCACTGGCTGGAACACGTGCCTGGGCTCTGCATGCTCTGCGCTGGAAACGAAAAGCCGTCTCTCTTTCATTATGTGCTCTGTCAAGCGAGCAAGGGTTTCCCGCAAACGAACAATCTCCACGAACTAAAGCCTCTCACAATGGCCAAGCGGCTCATCACGCACTGTCGCCACGGGCCTGAGAGCTTCTAGCCATTCTGGCCAGGCAGTTCTAACAACACGTCTTCGCGCTACCTATCCATCACTTCTGTGCAGCTAGCAGGCCCTCCATATGGTGCACCCGCCACGACACACAAGTGAAGCCGATCGGGGTCATCTGCCCATTGAGCTGGATAGACCTTCCATGCGACTGCTGCTGTTAGTACTGGCGGGTACATGTGAACCAAATTCAGTGATGAATGTATTTCCACACGTGCCTCGCGCTTGCGGTACCAAAGGTCTGCCAGCCTGGAATGATTGCATTGACGTTTCCTGTTAGTTCAGAGAACCGTGACATGTTACGGACGCCGCTTTAACATAAAAAAACTTGGCAGAACTTTTGGGGTGGGCAACCTCGTTCGGGCGAAGTCAGTTGCACCAGAATTCTCATTCGGCATCGCAAACCACCTCAAGACCCCCCGCCCCCACCCTCCCCAAAGCAAGTCCCAGTTGCTTCTGCCAGTCGGAGCTCATGGCACGCTGCGCACAAAGCCATTGGGGCAATGCAGCTTGGCGTGTGGCTCTGCTAGCTGCTGATTCTTAGATTTTCTAGGGGTTGGATCTAAAGTGCGTAAGCAGGCATGGGGATGACTTCTGTGCGAGACGTCTCGGTGTGCATAGGCTACAAAACGGACTCCCCCAATGGCGAGCAAGATGGCAGTTGTCACACCCAAGCATATGCACACAAGTACTCACATGATCGCACATGCCTATCACATGATCGCACATGCCTATCATTCAACAGCCGCCGAACAATGCGTTGACGTCTTGACATTTTTCAGGCTTTCATTTCCATGGTCTCGTACACATGCGTTTCGCTGGGCCCTGCGCTAACCACGCAGCTGGAATGTTGCCTTCTAGTATGTCAAAGTCCCCGAGTCCAGAGTCAAAGTAGAACTTCATCTGCAAGAACTCCTGGCAATGCAACAGCCAAGTTCGGACGGCTTCGTCTGCAAGGTAGTTTCGCCAGTCCTGGTAATTGTCATTATCCAAGAACCTGCAGTTCCTCCTGTACGCACACTTGATGGTCATTTCATCATCGGCGCTTTTGTGTCGTTGACCTAGCAATCGGGGTGTAAGCTCTATGCTCTCGCACATTGCCGATATGTCGGCCGGCACCTGATACACCTGACGCCCATTCTCATCACCGTTAAAGTTCTCAAAGATCACCCCAATGACGCGGAGCTTGCACTTCTGTGTCAGGTGCCTCACGCACCTTCTGACACCCTCGTAGTCAAAGAGATATGAAGTCTGCTTGTCTCTCTTCAGGACTCGGACCCCGTACGTTGCCCCAACATTGGCAAAGTTGACTACTACCCGCTCCAAATCAAAGGGCCGCCCCTCGTTGTCCACGGGTTCCGGCACTTGGCTCCTTGGTGAGGCCATGCTCAAGTGAGGCCTCGGGCCCAAAGTTGCGGGGGGAGGTCCTGCTGGTTGGTGTGGCTGGTTGTTGGGCGGGTAGGTGTGTGGACTTTGTGGAGGCCGCGGACCTCCGGAGCTTGAGAAAGGTGCTGGCTGCGCCGGTGGTGAACTAACCATGGCCGGAGGCGATGGGAAGGAGCGAGCCGGTTGAGCCGGTTCGTGTGTTGGCTGACTTGGCGTGCCGACCGTGGCATCGTCGAGGCTGCTAGCTGAGCCTGTCCTGCGCGGAGCAGGCACCCTCTTAGCCGTGGGTTGGAAGCTCCTCCAGTCTGCTTTGTAATTGGGAGGGGGCATGCTGGGTGGCCGGGGGCCATCTGCTTCTCTGTTGGGCACGCCCTTATCATCAAGATCGCGGATCTGCTGTAGTGCTCTCTGCTTGCTCTGGTTTCTGGCCACCACATCGCCACTCTTGAAGTCACTCCTGGGGCCGAAGGCACCATTGGGAGCTGAGCTAGGTGCCGACTCAGCTTGTGTGGTCGGCTGGCTTGTTGCCGAGGCAGTTCGGTTTGGGAACAATGAAGAGAAAACTCTGTCAAAGGTTCTCTTGTCGACTATCGGATTTGCCTCACCTGCCTCTGTCAGGCTTACTCGAACGTCCTGTATGGCAGCTGCGGCGTCTTCCTTGCCAGACTCCGACAATTGAAAAGCTTTTGTGGACTCACGGAGCAGCTTGCAAAGGACCCCGGGCATGCTGCTGAAAGCCAAACGCCGACTGCTGCTCAAGTGCCGCAAAAGCTGTAGCACCTTGGGCTGTGCAAGCAACCTCCTCATAGAAGCACGCTTGCCGGGCTCCGTGAGGACTTGTAGCCTCACCTGTTCTGTGAGCAAAGAATCCACAGAAATCTGAGGCATAGGGGCCGCCTTTACAGGTGGACTTGTGGGCGGCTGTGGTGGCTTTGGCGGCTGTGAGGGCTTAGGTGGTGTGGGCAATTGCGTGTGCTGCATTTGTGGAGGCTGCGGTTTTGGCTTCGGTGTTGCAACCATGGCCTTCGCAATCTGCGGTGGGTAATGCTTGGCAATGGGGCCTTTGCCGGGGGGGCCTTTGCCGGGAGGGCCTTTGCCGCGTCCTTTCTCGGGAGGAGCTTTCCCACCTTTGCCCTTTATAGCAACAGCAGCCACTTTGCCCTTGCCCTTGCCATCCTTGCCTTCCTTGCCATTTGGGCTCTTTGGCGGAGGAGGACTCACGACACTAACAATCTGACAGTCATCATCGTCCTCTTCCAAAGCGATGGGATCTGTGGCTTCAGCCGCTTCGGCGACGTCTGGGTTCGTTTCTAGCTTTGTCTCAGGGCCTGCTCCCTCTTCCTGCCCTTCACCCTCCTCCATCTCCTCCTCTTCGGCCTCCGTTACATCTCCATCTTGTCCGTCCTGGTGATGTTCCTCGTCACCACCCCAGTCTACCTCATCTTCTATGCCTGTGCCTTCCTGCACTTCCATGTCATGGCTCTGAGTGTCCTCCGGCTCGTTCCCTCCAGACTCTCCGATTTGGGTCCAGCCGAACTCATCGCTGATGTCCTGGTAGGGATCGTTGAGGCAGACATCGGGGTTCATCATCTCCCCTACATACTGCGCGGCTTGAGCTATGACCTGCAAAGAAACACCTCCATGATCGGGGCATCACATGACTCATGCAACTAGTCTCTAGTTTGCTGGCAGTACCCTCGTAACTTGACCAGGGACACGCTTTTTGCATGTGCAGCTTGCGCGGGTGACAGGTCTGTGCTGCTTACTCTTGCGACGCTGTCTCGAAAAATGCATATGGGGGAGCCCTTAGTAGCATCTGCGAGCGGCCTGATGCCGTTACGATCTCTGTCCCTTCTTGCACGGGTGCATTTATGAAACTTCGAGGGTCATTGAAGTCACCCTCACACCGCAGCAGGCACAAGGCCACATTCTGGAACACAGACTGCAGCACGCCAACTTGCTTAAGGTCGGACTGGTCACGTCGGGAAAACACGGCCAATGCGTCGGACGTCGCATCACGCTCCAAGGACTCTTCGATCGGTACGATGCAGTTTTCAGGCAGGGGAGAGCTGGGTTGCAAGTGTCCCAGCACCTCTTGAAGCTTCGGGATTTGTTCTGTGCCATAGTCAGCGGCCACAGCAATGAAAACACGTCTTCGCACAGCACCTCTGTGCTTGGTTCGCGTCAGCAGCTCTTGGCCTACGTAGCAGCCCTTGGAGAAAGACACAAAGTTCAGCAGCTCCATGTTCACGTGCAAAGGCATGATCTCATCGACTTTCATATCACGCGGTCCCTCTGGAACTCCGCAGCACACACGCCACCGATGATAGTCAGAAACACTGAGGGTCGTGTTCGCCACATCTGCAGGCAAGATTGCGCGCTGTCCCATTCCCGCAAACCGAGGATCTGGAAAAAAACTGGCGAGATCCAGCTTGTCGCCTGAAGAAAGCCACACTTGCAAAACGGGACTTTGCGATTCTAGCGGTCCACGCGTTTGACAGCTTCTTCAGTCCGGGCCTGCGTTAGAATCTGCACCAGGTACAGATTCGGCTTCAGGTGGAAGGAGCGCAAAAGGCATAAAACCTCACCGCATCACGCATCACATGCAGCAAAAGTTGCAGCATTCAGCTAGCTAGAATCAGCCAGAATGTTAGGATGCATGTCTGGTTCTGCTGTCGAAAGTCTCTTTGAGATGTTCTCAATGGTCAGTGGCTGTCGCAAGCGATGACGAATAAGCAGTCGCAGCAGCGGTGTTGCCGAATCCGCGTGGCAGTCGACCTCTGCTCAATACTAACAAGAACACTTCACGGTGACACTTGCACTTCTGAACAACCCTACTTCAGCACTGCGGTCAAAACTTACACGAGCTTGTGACAGCATGCTGTGCAGCTGAAACTCGAAGTATTCGTGCTTGTCCACTTGCTGGACAAGGGTGTCACAAAGTACTTTGCCTTTGGGTGAAAGGAAAGCAGCGGGCAGCACCTAAGCTGTGCAAACGAGCGATACTAGCTATGCCACTCTGCATGCTGTGCCAGCAAGTCTGTCGCACATCCAAGCCGCGGCGTGGCCCGCAGACCGCATGATCTGGAGGCGTTGCATGTCCTGCGTGCATAAGCCTTGTAGAAATTGCCCGCTGTTTTCTCCTCACAGTGCGATTACATGTTTGCGGTGCTTGACAAGACACAGTGTCGCAGATGTGATTGCCTGAAACTCGCAGGATCGCTCTGTCTGTGAGGGCCACGAGGCGAGAGGCAGTGCGCATGGCTGCAAATTATCGCAAAGAATGACTTCGCTTCTGGCTTCCAAAACAGCATACGAAGCGATGTCCGTCCAAGTCGTTCCCACACTGTTGGGAGTTTGTGCTGGTTGAAAATCTAATCTGCACACTGCTTTCGTGGTCTGCTTACTGCACTGGTGCATGAGTAGGGTATGGAACGGCCTTACGGCTGCAACAGTTGCCGGGTGCAGCACGCATGGGCTCCCAAAAGTTTCATACGACTCGATGCCAGGAGCTTCGCCCGTCCGACACTTCGGCTGATGATTTGTTTTGCTGCACACTCCAAGCTCTTCAGCGCTCACTGCGCTTCATGGCTACATCTGTCGCGCAGCAGGTTGCAGCTTGAAGTCGCCCGGGCTCAGGAGAGTCAAGAATGAGACTGCAGCGGAAAGCTACAAGAATGGCGAGCACCCTCTTGGGGCACTCCGTGCGTGCTGCGAGCTGACATGCGTCTCGTTCGTTCATGTTCGCTCTCCAGTCCGGATCACCTGCTGTGACATGAAAATGGAGCAGTCGACTGCTGCAATGTACTTCGGCTTTGCTTCGAAGGGTCTTCTAGCATGTGTGTGAGCACGCGAGGACCGGGCCCGAACATGTTGACATCATCCGATGGCCTCAGGAAAGAAAATCACCATTGCCATGGTGGCCATGGTATCGGCGGTGTGCACGACACTTCGAGCGCACAGGCTGAGTCAGGACTTGTTCATTTTTGAGGGGTTTCCCAAGCCCGGTGCTCAACTGGAGCAGTGAAGGCCGTGTTCTCCAGCCCTTTCAGGAAAGGGTGGTTTGCTCAGCTTCTCCCTTTTTAGTCATCATGTTAGCCATACATGGAGAGACCCCACCTGAGGAAGACATGACAGCAGCGACTGTTGAGTCCATCTCTGGTGGGCTCGCCTTGGTTCGCAAGGTCACACGAGCTCGTTCAAGGCCCTTGGGCCCAAAGGCCCCCCTCTTGGAAGCTGCCATTCCTTGGGGCCACACCCAGCCAAATCTGCAAATTACAGCGGTGACGTTGTCACCTCATTGCAGGGTCTGATGTTTCAAGGGCCTGGTGGAAGCCGAAGAAGCCCTTTCATGAACTCGGATGTGCACGGCTTCCCTTTCGCAGGGCCGTCTGCACCACCTCCTTGGCCGCCCTGGCTTGAGCAATCTTGAGCACATGAAAGTTTTGGAAAGTTTTGGAAAGCAACTTCAAGCAGCGATTGCTTTGCCTGACGGCATCCTTGCCGTGGCCGGCCATGGCCCGCCAAATGGTGTCTGCAACTTCCTGCGATGCAAAAGCAACGACGCATGCGACTGCTTGTGCCCAACCTGCTTGTGCCGTGGAACAACCTCGATGTCCCAGACCGTCGCGCCTGGTCACTAAGAGCATCGAAGATGCCATCGCTCCCCAGGACGCAAGCCCAGTCTTCTGGAACCTCTCGGCTGGAGGGGCCGTCGTCGAGGGCTTGTTTGAGGCTTCTTTGAAGGGCTTGGAGGGGTGTTGCGCCCGGTCTCCCAGGTCTCCCGAGGCGCGCCAAATCGACGGTTTTGACGTCAGGGGTCACGATGACCTGGCAAATGGCGCAGCGAGCTGCGCTGCAGCAAAATCTAGCGGTTTTTGCCGCCGGAACGTGCGCTTAGTCGTCGGCTATGGGATCCGGGTGTTTGAAAGTTGGATCTCCAAATCCTCTGCAGGTTGAGAGAAACCTGCGCAGCAACAGCATGAAATCTGAGAAGCATACCGGCTAACCTCTCAGATATAAAGCGCAGGCCCCGACCAAGTCATCTGTTGAGGGTCCCTCTTGCCCTTTCAGAGCACACATGCATGAGTCGTTAAAAAGAAGAGACCGTGAGTCCACCTTTTGCAGCTCCTTGGCAAACTTGTTGTCTGGCCGGGGCCTTGGGCCGGACGTGAATCCGCTAAGAGAACGATTCCAACTTCTTTGCCCGGACATGACCATACATGACAAGCATGTCCGAGAAGCCCTCAAGCCCTGTCAACAGGCCCGCCACCCGACGCGCCACACTTTGTGCGCATCTCGAACCACGAGCCCACCAGCTTTTTCAACCTAGGCAGGACATGCTTGTCGGTCGGATCAGCATTTGGCCCCAATTGCTGGCTGCCGGGGCAAGCAAGCTTCTATGATAATTACACCGTTCAGGAGAAACGCCCGCCGCTTCTCGTCAGCACCTCGACTTTCGAATGTATTTGTAGTGCACTCTTGCTCGGATGCTTCAGATTCGTCTAGCGACGCCACGTGCTTTGTCTTAAAGAATCTCATTGATGGCTTGCACTCTGCGGTCTATGCAACATGCCCAGGCACGCTGGGGTTTGTGATCCTCCGATATGCGCAGCCCTTGACCTTGGCAGGGATTTCAGAAGCCTCCATGCTGCTTCGTTCCAAGCTCTCAAAGCACACATGACTGGCACAGGATCGGTGAAGGTCGAGTGTGTCTCAGTTCGCTACGTCCGCGCAGAAGGACACAGCGGCAGTCTCCAGCCCAAGCCACAAAGAGTTTTGCAACCTAATGAACGGAACGAGAACGGCGTCTCATGTGGCTACGATTGGGAAAAGCTTAGCCGGCCATGCAAAATGATGGGTGCTGGACACCGCCCGGAGCACGAGCCTCACAGCCACAAAAGACGAAGCCTAGCTAGGCCTGTGAATTCTACTTGGTAGCCATCAGATTGTAATGGAGTGGGCAGATCTCTTGGAATCTGGCAACCGTGCCGGGCCGCTTTTCTTTCTCAGCAGTTTCCTCCACATCGTGTGCATCTGCTTGCGCATGCTAGTCGCAACAACTGCATCAGAATGCAAGAAGGTCCGTGCCTTGAAGCTTCAGACGAATATCCATCAAATGACGTTAAGATTAAGATACGTTAGAAGATACGTTAAGTTATACGTTATACGCTAAGTTATGCATTATCTTCCCGTCCTTGGTCTTTGGCCACAATGCCGCGCAACCTTCAGCCAGCTTTGCCTTCCGTTCAGCACTAGAGATTACCACGAACTACCACTGAGTTCTGCAGCCACCTGCCATGACATGCCCTGACTATACCGAACCCTCGGCAACGTCTCTAAATCCCACCTCCACCGGTGCGGCGAACCCATGAGATACCAGGGCCACGATGCCTGGGCTTCTGAGATGCTGCGATTGCAAGAGAGCAATCTGCAAAATTAAGTGACCTTGCGGCGCTTGGGACTCCTTAGGCACCCGCCCGTCGAGCCCTCCTGGATGTCCTTCTTCCTTGCTGCCACGAGCCACGCCTCCGAGGTTGCGTGAGCCGATTCATGCTTCAGCAACGAAACGTTGTGCAACTGGAATCGGCTGGAGCAAAAGCAACCAGTGAACACTAAAGCAGCAAGAACAAACTTGGCCTTGTCCGTCACCTGCCCATTCAGGCGTGTAAAGTTGGAGCGGGACAGGTGTGCCGAAAGAACGCTTGGGCCTCGAAACTCTCCGCTAGCGCTTCCGCGATGAGAGCCGCCTGCATGCAGGGGCCCTTGCGGCCACAAGCTCATTTTCCACGTCTTCTGGCTGCTCCACTCCTCTTTTTCAGCAGTCAGCTTCACCAAGCTTCCTTCACCTCAGCGATTGCATTGATGAGTTTTCGGACTTTTGTCACAAGGGACCTAACTAAAACCAGACTGCAAAAGTCGCGAGTTTCCTGCAAGGCCAAACCGGGTTCGCCCCGATCCCCCCCTGACCCGCAGACAAGTTGGGTTTACGGACCTTGTACGAGAGAAAGTCTCCCTGGAAGTATTGGCTCACGAACACAGGGGGTATTTGGGCAGCAGGCAGCAGACCTCCCCCCCATCCCCTTTCAAACTCCCGGCTCCTCTGCTCTTTTCTTGCTTCGCGGGTTGTTTCACTGTATTGAACTGCTTCTACGTAGTCAAGTTGAATCCCCGAACTTGGGAGATCTGACACTCGTTTCCTGTTCGTTGGTGTCTTAGCGACTTGAGGCTCGAATCAAGTCTACAAGTGCCCCAGTTTCTTTACCCACTCTCCCATCATAATCAGCTAGCCGCTCTCCCATATTGGGCCTCGGCAAGACACCTGCTTCCTCTCCTGAGGTCACGGCGCTTAGCGCGCGACCGGTATGCAGAGAGAACGTTCGGAGGGACCTGCTTCGCCTTTGCAGATGCACCGCGACACATGAAAGGCACGTTTCTTGCACCATGAAGGGTACCGAGATAAAACTGAGAGCCAATCGGCAAACTCAGCACAGGATCCACCTGGAGGAAGATTTCAGACGGGTGCCCAACGTAACAACAACATCTTGCACTTGGCTGCTCTTGCCTCGATGCCCATCGAAGATGCCCGCCAGGAAGCCCAGCTCATGCAAGTCTTGTGCGGCAATCCGATCGTCGTTGCGCTCCTGCATCTGCCAGATCTGCCATGCTTGAAGACTTTCGTGAGAAGCCTTTTCAAGCAAGCCATGGCTTCTCCAGACAAAGGCATGCGGCATGCAGGTGCCGATCTGTGCCATGCTGATTCGTCTCCTTGGCCCCCGCATTCGTGTCAACTCCGCACAAGAGGCCCTTCTGGCCTGCAAGTGGTCGGACCTGCCCGGCTTCATCTCATATGCCCCAGACTCATTCGCCGTCTCGACTGAGGCCCGTGCATCCATACAGACCTGAAAGTGGGCTGCCCAAACCATTCCAACCCCCCCCCCCTCCCCCCCCCTCCGACTTACGATGTCGGAAGTCTGACATCTGAGGAACGTGCGACTTCGGCCTTCTGCTTGCCGTTGGCCTTTCTCTTCACGCAAGGCAAAGCTGCAAATCACTGCACGTCTTCTGCACTCAGGATGCCACAGCATCACTTTTGATCGTCATCGGGAGGAAGCTGACCTGAGGATGCCAAGCAACGCCATTCTGGAGTGCCAATCTCAGCAGTCTCCGCACGTGCGAGGATCTCAGGCTCTCAGCAAAGCTGAGCAGAGGCTCGGGCCCGGGTTCCGTGGAATAGCCCACCTGGCCTCAAGGTTCTGAAGGCTCTGAATGACTGGAAATCGAAGCTCCGTGGCTTCAGCCTGGCACTCTGGGGCATTCACTGTGGCGGAACCTGCGAACCATTGGGAGCCCCCTGAGCTGGAATGAAGAGGTCTGCCTGGCACAGGAAAGGCCCCCTCTCTGCGCGACTTCACCCCAACTCCGGCCGAGGGGGCGACGTTTGCTTCTGGGGATGCACCATCCGGAATCACCGCTCCAAGCCTCGCAACAAGGAATGTCAAAGTGGCAGTTCTGTTGCAGGGCACATGCTTTCCAGGGCACTGGCTTCCTGCGACCGTTGTACCACCGCACGGTCCCTGTGCCTTGCCACTCGGACAAGCTTGGCGCTGTGCCATTCTGATTGTCATTGCTAGTTCTGCACCATGTCTGTGCACCATGTCCACTGACGATCCGGCGTCTTGCTGGCTTGGGAGGGGCCGGTGCTGCCTTCATGTGCTATGCGACAACCAATCCTTGTGTCGGCGGGTTGCGATGCCGGGCACGGGACAACTCGAGGGGCAGCAGCCCCTTGTGCTCGCCCAGTCAGCACCTGAAAAAACAACGTAGATGGCAGCGCGACAAAGCGGCCCAAGAAACGTCTGAGATGTCCCACCGGAGCAGGCGGAGGTGACCTTCATAGGGCCCACTTGTGCTGATGGACATGTTATAAAACCGGACACATCGCGGGCATGCCTCGGTGCCACGTCGGGAACGGGGCTCGGAGGAGCGGCGTCCTGCATGAAAGACACATTTCTTTTCTGCACTCATATCTCGACACTCCCCTTGCAATGGAACCGAGCTGGTCACCCAACGATTCACTTCTGTTTGCGGGTGCAAGCTCTCCGGGTGCAGTAACAGCCCTTTGCTGATCATAGCCGCGCCGATCACTGGCGGATATCTGGCCGATCACTGGCGGATACTTGAAACAACTAAACAAGAAGAATGCTGCATCATAGCTTGACCAGAAGCTAGACAGGACGACAGGCAAATCGATGTGCCGCCATTACGAGTACCATCCACATCATTCATGGCAACGCAAAGTCTCACCATGCTATCTGAGGCTATCTGTACAAGGGCTGGCATTGTGATTTCTCAATTTCTCTGGCATGAACTGCATGCACCTCTTGTCAAGATGCCAAAGGAACCGGCCATTTTTCAACCATTGGTAACATGTGCACTCGAATGCGAAGCCCCAGCATAGAATCCAAGTGACTTCATCACCAGCTGTCCTCCGCATCTGGAGCTGGAAGGAGGTTGTCGGGACCTTGGGTGCGATCCATGCTGATCGTCACATCCCGATCTGCGCCCATGATCTGTGCACACTTGCGGCGATTTCATCTCCGGCAGCTGGCGTATTGCTTTCACGTCTCCACTTGCGAGAAGTTTTACCTGCAACGCGTGCCGCATTGCCCAAGGTGGCACTTGAGACTCGACATCGCTGATTGGCTCCTGCATAGTGGCTGATCTCAGCGGTGAAGGGCCCTGGCCTCCCATCGGCCAGAGGCCGCATCGAATCGCTCCAGTTTGCCTCGCCTGCAGCTCAGCTCAAGCTTTCACCCTTACTTCAACGATAACGATCTCTTCAATTCGTGAGGAGCCAGCGACCCATTCAGAGCCGCTGCCTGCTTCAGGTTGGTCAGCATGACCTCACAGGCCCAGGATGACATGCGTTGCCCAGAATCCCTCGTTTCGAGGAGGGCTAAGACGGCTAAGAATGGACGGGATAATGGAGAGTATCGGGGTCGCGCCATGGCACCCGCTTGGAGGCCGTCACCTTCCCCCGACCTAGGTTCTGCAAGATTATGCAAGGCTATGCTCGCAACCTTCATGTGCGCACAGCAGGGATATCACCCGCAGATGCCCGTGCAAAATATCCGTAAGGCCTGAGAAGGTGGCAGCGGCTCAAAGCTCACAGGCTTTGAGGACGCGCGCCTAACCCAAAGATGATAAGCGCCAGCTGTGAACTCTCTAAGAGCCTCTAAGACTTTCAGAGGGAGCCCACCCTCGTCCTACTCTTCGTTCTCTCTCAAAACTTTGATTCTATCGGATCTGCTCTTGGCATCCTGCGGCGGCTCTGTTCGACCTTCGTGTCCGAACGAGGGCGTGTCAGAAGAACGTCTCAAGTCAAAAAAGAAGAGTGCCGGCTGCTTCTTTGTGGACTCTCGCACGGCACACCCCGAGAATTCTGCTTCGACTCCTGCTTCTACTTCTGCTTCTGCTTTCGTCACTGCTGTCCTGAGTGCTTCTCCAACTACATCATGGAGACTCAGGCAGATGTACCCAGATAAAGCCTAGCAAATATCAGCAATGTCCTGACACGCGGCCCTCGCAGCTGCAGCCCGTCGCTCCTCACAGAATGCAGGTGGCAGCAGAGCCTGCAAAGTCTGCATCTCAAGAAACTTAGCTGACAACTCAGCAACTCAGCTTAGATACCAAATCTCCTGGCCTCCTCTGCATCGTCCTCGTCCCTTTCCTTTTCCCTCGCTCGCCTGACGTTATGCAATATCACATGTCTGACTTGCTTTTTGCTGCCCACCCACTGGTGTTACGTCAATCGGGAGAAGCAAGCATGTGCGTAAGTATAAGCCAGTGTAAGCGTTCAGCTCCTCTGCTAGCTTGCCTCGCAGATGTGTTCGATGAACACATATGAACTCCCAAACAAACGACCCAAGGTTTTGCTCAGCGCGCGTAGGTCTCGCACGCTTGACGGTTTCTTCGTCCATGAGATCATTCTGTGAGCTGTGTCCTCGCAAAGCACAGGTCAGCCTAAGGCCCTAAGATGCCCGAAGGAATGGGTTTGTACACATCATTTCGCTCAGGACAGAGCTTTCCCTGTTGACCAGACGCCGAGCTGCATCCTCATCCATGAGATTTTCATCTCCGCCTGCGTCACGTGGGTCTTCTCCGAACTCACGCCGAGGTATGCAAGGACCCTCCACTCGTAAAATACAAGGGAACCTAGGCCTAGACATCTGACTGCGGCTCTCTTTTGATTCAACATAACCAGGCACGCAACCCCCTTTCTCCAACCCAGGCTCTTCAATTATTAATTGCTAAACTTCCCTTCCATAAACCTGAAAAGTTAGTCAGCAAGACGCTGGGAGCAAATATCTTCCGCAGCAAGGAACCGTCCAGTTTGCGACGCTGAGCGTTCCAGTTGTAAAGGAACAAGAGGCCCCTGAGGCCCCTGGACATGCAACGGACTTGGCAGTGGCGTGTCCACTGGTGCCGCCATTGCGTCTTCAATGCCGCAAGGGAGCTTCTGACTCTTCCTAGTCTTGCAGAGCTGTCAATCTACCACCATGGTTCGCGGCACGTTCTCTTTTTTGAACTTGTTCTTTATGTGCGCGCGTGTCTCCGGCACTCTGCTGGGCAGAACTTGTGTTCACATGCATATCAGCATGCGGACGCTGCTCATGCTGCTGCCTTCTGGCATCATCCGACACCCTGAAATCACTGCAATCCCAAGGTGGCCTGAGCTCTGATGATCAAAGCGACGGGAGAGCTCGTCATCCGTGTACGCTCGGCCCGCCCAGGTGCGGACCTTGGCTGGGAAAGCGCAAGTATGCGCAAGTCTCACTTATTTTGTGCTCTTCCCTGGAATGCTTCAAGGACAGCGAAATCTCGGAGTCGGCCCTTGAGTCGCTAAGATGCGAGCTCTCGAGTCCTGTTCCTGGAACTGCCGCCGCATCCGTCTACAGTCAAAGATCCATTCTTTCCGACTTTTGCTGCGCTACTGCAAGATGCCTTGTGCTGAAGCTGTCTCGGACTTTGCTGGGGCTCTGCTGATGTTGCGCCGCTTTCGAGGGAGTTATGCTACATTAACTGTAACATGCTGCAGCCGCCGTTGTGAATGTCCTGATGCCTGCTCAGTTGGTCATAGCTCTGCATCTGTCTTGAAGGCGCTGGGGGACGACGGAAGCTCCCAAACAGTGCGGCAAGTACGAAAACGCGCAAGCAATCCAATGCTTACTTGGACTTTCGTTTGGCGTAGCTGCACTATGCCATAAATAGTGGCTGGGACTCACGAAAGTGAAAGCATCAGAGGTGGCTGCGCTTCTCAGGGGATGAATCGGTACTATTAGCACACTTTAGGCCGTCCGATGATGCTGGGAAGGCACGCAAAGTTGAGGACCCGGTTTGGACAGGATGCAAATGGATGCAAGGCACACCAAGGGCTGATGAGGATATCAAGATGTACCAAGCCGGGGTAAGCTGCCACCTCCTTGCTTCCGCAAGAGAAACCTCATTCTTCATTCCGATAAAACTGGAACGATACTTCACACTTAAGATCTAAGGCAACGCGCTTGAATGCATATCAACTTGGGGGTGAGACGCGCATGCTCAAAAGGCTCTGGAAGCTCAACGATCAAGAGGCCAGCCTGCGCAGCTTCCCAGGCACCCTCGTTTTCCTCAAGCCCCCCCCTGCTTTCCTCAGAGGCCCTTCTGCCTCCAGCAATGACCTCCGTCCTGCGACCTTTGGGCACTCTGAGTCTCTGGGCACACAGATGGGCACACAGGGTTTCAACCAAACCCCCAGCTCCACACTGTATGGCTCCGACCTTCAACTTCTGTCTTTGCGAGAAGGGGTGCTCGGCTTGCCTTCCAGTCTTCTGCGCTTTGCCGTCTCGACCTGACGCGATGTGGGGGTGATGTACAGCAAGGTATGTCGGTTATCTCACGATGGCTGGGCAGCCTGGCCTGCTCGGTTTCGCCCGACTCCTCTGCTCTTCGAACAGACTCGACCAGGTACTGGAAAGCGTCCTCCAAATTGGAACTCAGATGGCTCAGAAACTCGCACTGACTCACGCCCGGCCAGCTCGGCGGGCAACCTAGGCAGTCAGGCGCGGTCCTCTGCACTGTTCTTGAAGACCAGCATGTCCAGATGCGACTGCGTTAGCCTCACAGCCATCATTGCCAAGGCAACGAGAAAGCATGTGAGAAAGAATGCTGCAGAACACAGCGCTCTCGACCGAGCCATACACATGCCGCACTCGAGCAGATAGTTGAAGTTTATTGCTTTCTTCCAGTGCTCTTCGCCCAGGAGAATGATCGGCAGAGGGTGAGAGATCTTCCTGGTTTGCATTTCGGCCAAGAACCCTCCGAAATTTCAGTGACAAATCTAAGCTCAGGGGCTTTGTTTGCAGGAGCACGAGCATCTCGAACAGTTCGTCAAGCGACCCAAAGCCTGCCGCTGCCACATCCGCCCACTCTTCGTCAACAAATCTGGTCTGCTGAGCCTCCCGGACAAACCACGAGGCCCATGCACTTGTAGGCCATCCAGAATTTCCGCATGAAGAAGTAGTGGAATTCGAAGGCCCCCTCCTCCGAAACGTACCTGCCACAAATGACAGGCATCCTAGAAACTACCAGTAGCATCGATGCATCGTCCCATAAAGGGGTTGCAGCCAAGGCTCTTGTTCAAGGAGCCCCACCTGCAGCTACCATGGTTCAGCGCAGTATGCAAAATATAAAAAAGCCTGAATATGCCTGAATGCTTCAGTGACCCAAAATCGCTGTTGAGCAGCTCTGGCCGGCTGGCTCCGAAGCCGAGTGTCTTGTCTCCTGCGGGTTCGGTTGTGCTGAGATATGCTCTGAGACCCACCCACAGACGATGCACAAAGAAGACGCAGGGCCACCCCGTAAGGGGCCTTCCCCGTAAGGGGCCTTCCCCGTAAGGGGCCTTCCCGGAAAGGGGCCCTTATCTTTGACTCTCTAATGAAGAAGACTCAAGGCCAGCCCCGTAAGAGGCCTTCCCTGCCAGGGGCCCTTATCTTTGACTCTCTAATGAAGAAGACGCAAGGGACTCCGTCGTGAGGGGCCTCCCCGAAGCTATGTCCTCGTCCCTGTCTCTTTGTTAGGCCCGTCCTGCTTCGTACGCGCCGCGGTTTGCCGCCTCCATGATGCCAGGACCGCCACCGGTGCTGACATGATAAGACCTTGGACCACGGGATGGATCAATGATCTGATCTCAACACCCATTTGAGCTGGTTTGGGGTGCTGGCGGCAGTCCTTTGGCGGCGCGCTGCCGATTCCATTCACCAAGCTTCTTTCCAAGCTCCATGGCCATCCTCAGCCGTGCAGGACTACTTTTCTCTTTTACATCCCTAAAGTAGCAAGTCAGGCGAGAGTAGATGACTGTAGGATAAAAATGCGCTGCGCGATTTAGAGGAATCCGAGACCCCTTGACCTTTGCAGCCCAAAGTTCACGTAATACTTGTCCATCGCTTGCATCTTCTGGGCAAATCGTAGCTTGGCCTGCAACGCTTCGACCTGAGAGGTGTGTGCGTATCGCGGATTCGGAGGGGGTCAACTGCAGTTTGACCCAATTTGCCTCTTCTTCGGCCGTCAGCTTCTTGATCTGCTGCTCGAGGCCGGAGATGTGCTTTTTGCGATCCTCTGTGGGAGAAAGTATCTTGCAGTTCTTAACCGCTTCAATAGTGCGTAGAAGAAACATAGTCAAGAGGCCTCTGGCTGCATCACCAAGTGCGACCCGACCTCCGGCGCTTTGACGCAACTTCGCGCGCCCCGGGCGCCCGCGATTACAGAACACCCTTGTGCATGTGCCAAGACAGAAGATTTCATCCAAGAGGCTATGATGAAATAGTTGCTAATGTCATGCTTGTCCAAGCGCTGCATGGGTTCGTAGAGCTCACACCTTGGATCGCGATCATGTGTTCCGACTGCGACAGCTCGGGTGCTGCCGGCGCACATTATTCGGACATGGCGAGAGGTTGCGGCGCCCAAGAAGTCCGGGTTCTTGTATGCCTGTGGCACGGCACATGAGCAAGAGTCGGGTGCATCATAGTGCATCCGCCACGCACGGGCCTTGATCGTGGGGACGTTCTTCAGCTCGCCGTTGCCACTCATTGCCACTGCTATCCGCTGCTTCTGCCTACTTTCCTAGAGCTTGAAGCTGGGAGCCGGTGCCTGAACCAAGGCAATCACTTGAAAACATGTGCTTGATGCCGTTTATTGCCGTTTCCAACCACCGTCCGCTTTCCCGGAATCTCGGAACCCCCATAGTTTGACCATGTCGGCTTTTTCTTCCTCTTCTCGGCGCTCTCCCAGCATCTCACCTCGGGGTGCATGACAAAGATGCCTGGCTCTCCGAAGCTTTCTTGCTGACTTTCTTTCTCTGTGGTCCACCGTCTGATTCATCGGAAGGATTTGTTCTGCTTCTGCCCACCTCTGGAGGATGCTACTCGTCCTCACTGTTGAACGGCGACAACGGCCTCGGCTCGAGAGCGCATCCCACAGTAGCTGGAGTCGTTCTTCTTTGGGATGTGCACGGTCAACGACTAGGTCTTGAAATGGGTCTGGCCATGGCTGGGGTGAGTAATCTGGAGCCACAGTCCAGAAACCATTGTGCTAACAACATCTAACAACCGTTTGATGATGCCGCGCCCTGTCAGTGAACCGATGGACGCATGCTTTGGCCACTCGTTTGGGCACAGGGAATTAAATTGAACAGCGGCAGCACCTTGCTGCATGCGGCTGGGGTCCTGACTTGTTGCAACCGATGGGAATGGGATAGTGCATCTGGCCTGGCAGGCAGTTGCATGCTGGTACCAAGAGAATTTCACGTGGCCCAGCACGCAAACGAGTGGAGCAACAGGCGTGAGAGTTTGATGGGAAGCTTCTTCTTAAGATGTTTGCAGAGCACTCTCTGCGGAAGACACTTGTTGAGCTAGAGAACGTCTTGGATGGGAGAAGCAAAGGAAGTGACAAGAGACAGAAGAGAGGAACGGATATCCCACCAAAAGTGATCCCCTTGATGCTCCAAAAGATCAAAAAGCGGCAGCAGCAAAGGGCCTCCTTCACCTAGCCACTGCCAAGCGACCATCTGCCAAGCCACGTCAAGCACAAAAACATCTGCAAACGGCACATTTTGACATTTCAAGATGACGCAGCTTCTTGGCGCTTTTGTCATGCCCGCTCGCAAAGCAAACCCGAACATCCAACATCTGCTGTGCTTCCACAAGCCTGAGGTTGGAAACAGATCAGTTTTAACCAAATTCCATTGGTCGCTTGTGTGTTCCGTCACGACGTGAAACTGGTCTCTATTGCGAGCTCTCCCAACTATGAGGACGTGGCTCGCTCGACTCGGTTAACCCACATCCTGTGCCTGATGCAGCAACCACATGCATGATCTTTACAGCTCACCATAGTGTCCCATCAATCTGCCGCTATCTCATGGTGGAGAGTGAAGGGGAAATGAGCCAGTGAGCCAGCTCAGCAACCCGTTTAGAGCCGACATTTCCAGGTGGAGCTCTGAGCATCCAAATGCTGATTCTGCGCACTGAATGCATTCGATGCCTTGTGCTTCGTCAATGCGCTAAGTGGCATTGGCCGTGGGGCAGCCGTGCCAATCTCGCCCTGTTGCATAGACGCATAAGTGGAGCATTTGGAAGAGAGCGCCCGATCGCGAAAAAGGGCTCCTGACCTCGATTAGCTCCCCAACAACTTGGAGCTCCTTCTTCTTGGACATCTTTCTACTTGTCTGCGGCTGCGCCTCTCCACAGAGACAAAGCCAATCAGGAAAGTTCAGGAACTGCGGACATGGTGATGGCATTTGGCTGCGTTGCCTTCTTGGTCTCAGTCTTTCTGACTGAAGTTGCCGAGCTTGCCTTGGGCTCTGGTATGCAGACCTCAGCCACTGATGCTGATGTCGCATCTCGGATGGGTCATGGCGGGCCTTTGTGGCGGCGCTCTTGCTAGAAGCCTCGGCGACAATCTGATGGGTCAAGTCTTTTGAAGCACTCAGAAGCGCTCAGACCACCCGCTCTTCTGCTCGCCTTGGCACTCTTGCCATTCTTCTTGCTGGACGTCTTGTCGCGGCCTTGGCAAAGCTCGGGGCTTGAAGGGCTGGAGGGGCTGGAGGGCCGCTGGGGGAGAGCGGGCATTGCGGCATTGCGCCTTGAAGCTTTAAACACACAGGTTCAAACAGGTTAGTCACTGCTGGGCCTCGCCCTCCACGTGTTTAAAACCTTCCCCGCACGGTCCTGACTGGGCAGATCTGGGCAGCTTCGTATTGGTCAGCTAAGACACCCATACCCGCAGCAACCGCGCAGCCGGCAGCATAAAACAGAAAAGGCCACACGAACCTTCCGATGATTCAGCAAGGCTAGCGTGATAGCCGCGGTTTTGTCAGTCTCTGTCGAACTACTGACTGAACCTTGGCACACATGTCCTAGCGACCTAGTGTCTCACACGAATCTGTCTCGTAGCTTCGATGCTATGTTTGCTGCGGTGCAAATGGTTCTGGAATCTCACTGTGCATCACCGTGAATATTTTGAGCCATAGAAGCCATCTATATGAAAGCTGCGCCACTCTTGTAAGCACTCAGCAGCGCGAGAAGCTACATGGTGCTTGTGACATGCTTCCTCCTTTCGTCGCGAGTGCTTTCACCCGATCGTGCCGGGCATGACGTAGCTAATATCTAGCGGCAAATCGAGGTCCATATTTGCTTCAGAAACTTGGTAGGGCTCGCCCCATTCCTTCGAACAAACATTCAGCCAAGAATGCTCAAGAGTTGGTTGGCAGCTGCTGAAGCCACGGTTGCTACGGTTGCTACCAAGCTTCCAGGAAAAGTGTTCTCTAAGGGCTAGAGCGGCTAGAGAGCACTGGTTGGAGCACCTGTTTGTGCTCATATGTGCATGCTTCAGGTCTCCGGAAAGACTTCGCAGTCAACGGAGCTGTAGCTCAGCTATGTCCAATGGGCCGTCTGTTTCTTCTTGGCATAGTAGTTCCTCAAAGATGCCTTGTCTTACAATGCAATGTGGCCAGATGCAAACAGACAGCCAGCGGCGCCGTCGGCAGCCGGTGCCCCTTTTGCAACTTCGAGCATTTGTTTGCACGGCGTGCTGGAGCAACCTGCGTTCATCCTTTCCGGCATCCGCCGTTCTTTGCAAACTACGCAGTGTCCAGAACCGGCTTGCCTCAGTCTTTTGGACTTGTTTGAGCCCGTTCCAGCGCAGAGATTATGTGTTTGCCGTACCTCAGCTAGCAGAGCGGCTGGGCCGTGAATGGTCCACAAGCATGCGCAGACTTGCAAAGCTGCTTCTGTAGCTATGCTGCGTGTTTGACTTCTTGAGCACCGGCATGTGTTCCCGAAGTTTCCAGAACAGCAAATCACGCTGTGGACTTTGCGCCAGTGCAATCACGCGTTGAACTATGTAGTTGCCAAACCTGAAGAGCACAGAGCTCACGCAAATCTAGTGTTGACTCTCCCGAAGTGTGACAAGTACTGCCAGCTTCAAAACACCATGCATGCATCACAACGTGCTTTTTCAAGGCCTAACTATGTGAGGCAGATTTGCCGCCCAGTCACCGGTCTCGCATCATGACAAGCAAAGGCGGGTGTGGATCGCCCTGTTGGCCAGTTATTGCCTCCGACCCAAGCCCACACTTGAAAAGGGAGGGTCATGGAGGGTCAGGCGTTTCTGTTTTGATCGATTTCAATGAAGAGGGGTTCAAGGGGTGTGTGGCATGTTGTGAACCCGGCCTCCACCAGGTGTGATCTCTCTTCTGGTGTTGCACACTGCAAGGCCTTCTCAATCACGTTGCTGGCATACTTGTGGCCTTTGAACAGAAGCCGCACAATCGAGTCGAGAGCTTGCACCAAGCTTAAATTGAGGCTCCGGCAGGAAAGCGACAAAATGTTCTTGCGAACAATGTTCATCACTTGCTGCCGGTCACCAGGGCGACTGCTGTGCTCCATGACATGCTGCACAACCTCAGGGGCACTCAAGGGAGACAGGCTGCTTTTTTGACGACGCAAAACCCGAACTGTATCTGCGGCCCTGTTTACAGCCGGGTCACGTAGTTGCCATACTGATCTGTTGCCAGCTCCATACCTAAGCACAGCATGCAAACTCAGAGATGGAACTATGCACAGAACTAACTATGTGGAAACTATCCTCGGGGCAGTTGCAAGAGGTGGCGTATTGGGGTCATTCTACATAGAGCATCTTAGAAACGCCGTGCCAGAGTGGAACTTGCTTCTATGCCATTCTTAGCATGCTTGGATCTTCAGGTTTCTTGGTATACAGGTTGAGGTTTGTGTTGAACTGCACCCTGTACTTAAGTCGGAGACCGAGTTTGGAATTTGAGATTTGTGTTGAACAGCACCCTGTACGCACGTCGGAGTGCCTCAGTTCTAAGCTTATAAACCTGTAGCGGATCTAAGAAACCCGGAGTGCACGACACGACACCTTTTGCCGCTTGCGCTGCATCCGTAGCTTGTTTCGGCTTGAGCCAGCCGAGCGATGCTCACTGGTTCTTCTGGTCAACAGATTGAGAGTGCTTGACACAAACAACATGAGAATCTTGACAGCACCCCCCAATTAGAGTTGACCAGAACGCCAGAGCATTGTCCTGGTATTCTCTCAGCAGCCGGGCTGCTGACGCGCTATGAGATCTACGACGATACCTAGGATCTGTGGCTCGGGCCTGTAGCTCAGCAGAGACGTCCACCAAGGACAAAATGCCATGCTTGATGAACTGTTCCAGCGCACCATTGGCTCGAAGAGGGTCGGGCTTGGTCATGGTGTCAGCTAGCATCTTTTGGTGGGGCACCCATCGCACGTAGGAACCTGTCTCCTGCAGGTCCTTCACGATAATCGCCAGTTCTAGCGAGGATTTCCGGTCTTGGCGGCCCTGCGGATGTTCTTTGAGCAGACAGTCAAAGAGACTTTTGGCGTCTGTGACCGCGCACTGCGGCTGCCGCGTCACCATCTCGTAGGACCCCTTCATCACCAGCATGTGTGGAGACAGAGAGTTTCGCCAGTCCCTCAACTGAATGTCGTGGCTGATGGCATCCCGGTACATCACCTGCAGCCAGTCTGCTTCACCGATGCCCTGCAGCATAGCTTGCGTCTCGCCACCGAACGTAGAGAAGACCTTTCTTCGAAGCTTGGAACTCCGCCATGCCAGCGGTGATGCACGAACTCGGCGTCCTCCCACCGGCAGCGTCTCAGCTGCCAGCACCAGCCAAGCGCCTTGAGTGGCATCTGAAGGAAGTCCCTCGTGATCCGTGGTCTCGTGCTTGGCCCCAATGCCACCGGCATCAGACACGATGACGAAGGCCATCTCTCGCGGGTCATGTCGCCAGATACGAAGAGGTCGAGCGGCGGAATTTCGCAAAGCATTCACACTGCGGTTGAGTGTGAGAACATCCTCCACCGTGGCATTCACCATCTTCGAGGCCATAATGGATGCTAGGCCACTCACCTCCGGCCTGGTCTCCTTCGCCACCCAGTTCACTCGATAGATGGCTGAGCGGAAGGCCGCAAACTCCTCCGGCTCCAGAGGACTGTCCTTTGCCGAGCGACGTCCTTTTGCCAGGATGACCGGGTGCACCTGCTCGGTGATGTACTTCTCCTGGTCCACCAGAATTTCACCTTCCAACACCCGAACTCGACGTCCTGCGTAGTCTGCCTGGTTGAGTTCCCACTTGCCGAAGTGAAAGCGCTTCTTGAACATCTCTTCGATCTGCTTGCTGATCTCGGGGAGGGAGCTGACGATGAAGTCGTCCACTTCGATCAGCACCTGCGCCTCGTTGACCCCTTTGTCATTGAACCTCATATACCAACACGGCTCCACCAGGTTCTTGACGAAGCCCTGCTGCACCAGGAAGCTGACGACCGTGTTCCTCCAGGCAGCAGGCGCATCGTCCAGCCCGTACACCGGGACATTGATCACGATGAGGGCTCCAGGAGGAAGGTTTAGCCCCTCGCAGGGTTCCGCGAAGAGGGGTCCATTTGGACGCTGGAGCTTGTCGCTTTGACAAAACGCGTTCTTGACGTCGCAGAACGCGAAGGAGTGGTTGAGATTCAACCCGGCCTGCAGAAAGCACATGAGCCCTTCGGTTTGAGGCGTTGGAGAGTATGTAGCTAGGGAACCCGTATCCGGGTCAACATGACCGTGTAGACACCATCTGGACTTGGGTTTCCAGCTGCCAATGCCCTCAACGGGCTTTCTCCTTCGAACCATCCTGGAGCTGACGATGCGGTCGGCGTACTTGCCTCGAAGTCGCGCTGCTTCGGCTCCGGTTGCCACTCGTACTGCTCCAGTTTGAAGTATCGCCTTCCACTCGAGGGCGTCGCTGGCGTCGAAGAGAGCCTTTTCCTCTGCCGCAAGCTTCTTGATGTCCACCTCGTCGCTGCGACTCGCCACCAGGGTCCACCTCCGCACCTGCTCGTCCAGCGCGAAGAGACTCAGACCATCCAGATCCGGAGGAGACTCGGAGGGCTGCACATCTGTCGAGCTGGAAGCATGTATCTCGTCTCGGCGTTGTCGGATGGCGTCCAACAGAGAGGCCACGGGAGTTCCAGGAGCTCTGGTGCTCTCTTCCCTTCGGGGCGTCTTGTTGGGGCGTTCTTCACTTGAGTCGGGCGGATCTCGAGCATGTGTGGTGGAATCTGGAAAAGTGCCCTCGTTCGTGCGCTCGTCCAGGGAGGTCGTTGCCTCGTTCACTGTCTCGCCTTCCGGGACGACTGGCAGAGGATCACTGTCTGGCTCCTGCGCCGGTTCCTGAAGAGAGGACCTCCGGGAAGGAAAGCCTGAGCTTTGCGAGGGGGACTGCCAGTTCCTATGTTCGACTTCTTCAAGGCCTGGAGGACGTGGTGGGGAAGAACTTGGTACCCGTAGAAGACCTGGAGGAACTGGAGACACTTCTTGGGGTGCTTCTGAAGGTCGAGATGCTGAGGAACCTCCAGGCGCTCCTGCGCTCACTTGAATCCCTTCATGATCTCGGTCGACAGGACAGTGGTGATCTCGTTCATCTGGCGGTCCTTCTCGAGCCACGTCCACAGCTCCCACTTGCCTGCCTGACACCACTCGTCGAAGCAATTCGCCGAGGGACTCGTCACTCGCCAGCTGTCTTCCAAGAACTTCCGACGGGAAAGCAGGCCGCAGCTGTTCTGGGGCGCATCGCCACAGTCGAGATCTCATAGCCACCCACACCAGTGATCGACTACTGAGAACCACCAAACCTGGCCCCACCCAACGAGAAGTTGGATGCAGAGTGTCGCCCGGCTTCCCTCGTCGAAAGCAGTACACCCATTGTCCGGCTGTCCATTGCCTCATTGGAGTCGAGGATGTCTTGACGGCCCGCTGCACCGCCTCCTTACTGTTCTCCGACATGGCCAAACGCTTCGCTCTTTCTCTGATCTCATTTCGTCGACGGAACTCAGCACCGATCTCGTCCATGCCAGCTGGGTCGTGGTAGGCGTCGTTGAGCGGGAGCAGGCCACCATTGTCCTCTGCCAGCAGCTCTCCCGGTATACGCGGAAGCTCGCCAAAGACCAACTGAACTGGCGTGTAGCCACCTTGATTGAACCAGCGATTCTTCGCCGCCACCAGAGAGGAGAGAAACTCGTCCAGCTCGTCGAGATTGCTAAGAGCACACTGACCGGACTCGATTTCTTGACGAAGTCGTCGCTTCATCCATCCTCCGTGCCTTTCAGCTCGAGAGTTCTGCCATGGTGACTCAGGAGCTGTCACGTGCTGTAGCGTCCCCAATTGTTCAACCCCACGCTCGAATATGCCACGAAACTCGTTGCCGCCGTCGTTGATGATGAGAGAGGGAGGACCGAGATATCTCACCCACGAGTGAAGGAAGGCGCGCCAGGTGGCTGCGCTTGAGGGTGTTCCGCCTCCGTGGCTCTCGATGCGCTGCACGATCTGAAAATTGGTCCCGCTGCACACCATGTTCAGCACAGGGACGGAGACGTTCTGGAAGGGAAGGTAGAACACATCCATGGACACCACTCGGTTGAAAGACACGATGCGAGGACAATGGGCTTTCCTCCTGTGGTCTGGTCCTGCACGGATCTGACACTGGTCACACTTGAACTCTTCTCGCACATACCGCAGGACATGGGGAAGAGCTCCTGCGGCCTTGAGAGTTCTAAGAAGACGATCAGCTGGAGGATGACCAGTGTTCACATGCACCTTCTTGATCAGCTGCTTCTGAGACTCAGTGATTCGTGGTTCTGCTCGAGACGTCGCCGGGAGACCTTCTATTCTCTCGTCTTCAGCGTCCTCCTCGCCCTCCGGCGGACCATCCTCCCGCAGAACCTCCACGGGAAAACTCGCTGTGCTGGGTGCTGCTGACTCCTGCTTGAATGAGTCAAAGGATGAGAAGAGGGGGCCAGTCACCATCTTGCTGAAGAGGGCGTGCGGCGTCTGATATCCTTGAGCTCCAAGATCTCGCACACATTGGAAGAGAGCGTGATGTCTCTTCTTGGAATTCAGCATGTGGGGATCGTAGCCGTAGACCTCGAAGCCGTACTCCCGAAGTCGGGCTCGCTCTTGCTCACAGAGGGACGGAGCGTTGCGAGTCTGGAAGGCCACGATTGACCATCTCTCTCCCTTCCACGGCTCCACCTCGTGATAGAGACGAGCATCGAAGTCCAACATGCGCTGGCGATGTCGATGAACTTCTCCCGGGGCATGAACTCCGGGAGCAACTTCTCGTACCACTGATCCGCTGGGGTCAGCCAGCCAGATTTTCCCACCTTCAAAGGCGCCCAGGGCGATGCACTGATTGCGACCATGATTGTGAAGATCGCGATGACAGCTCACCCGACCGCCTTGATTGCCCCTGTTGATGGCTATGGAGGTCCGCGGCGCACATGCCCCGTGATAGGTGAGGTAGTCGTTAAGATAACGCACCACATGCTGGTAGGCCTTGGTGGCCTTGGTGATGCCGGTCTTGTTGCCACGCACGTACTGGCCGAAGATGATGCTGTCCCGGGAGACCGCCTTCTCGCACTTTGAGCAGGGAGCGGAAGACCAATCCACCTTTCGTAGAAGTCCCAGACATGACTGGTGTGAGAAATCGCCCCGAGCA